GGCCGAAACCCTTCTCCAACATAGAGTAACTGCAAAGAAAAAGAACTTGAGGTGTGTCTTTTCCATGTATATTAGCTCAAATATAAACTCAATTTTCTTTGGCCAAGCTCACAACCTTTGTGTTTGCTTTCCTGAGAACTTGCATAATCAAGTTTTATTAGCCCAAATGTTTGCAGAGAGACCAATTCAGGCCTTCACACTTAAGCATATCAGAAGTGGCATATTTTATCAGGTAAAAAAGATTGATAGGCAAACTAGGATAAAGTATTGGCTGAGGGCAGAGTTCCCTTAAACCCTTGGTTTACTTCCTACAGTGAGGAACTCAGTGAGCTGAAGTACAACCCTTCCAGCTAGGGCCACCCATGCACGCACACACTGTTATTTCGTGTGAATGCAATGGGACAAAATTAAACTCTGGAACCTTCCAATAAACCTGAAAGTATTTTTTTTCCCCTAACAACAATACCTTGAGCAAACTCTGTGTGACCTAAAAAGAGAATTGGATGTTCTGGTTTTGTCTTTTTTCTCCCCTTTCAAAAGTGCCTAGTTCTGCTTGTCTACTCTTCTGCTCTAAAACTGCCACCTTTTCCCTGACAGTGTCTAAGCACCATAAGTATCCCCTATCAACTGATTTTACCCAGTCAACTGAGTAACTGACATGTGACTAACCACAACTAAGATAACTCAGCCCTTACTTTCTCAAAACAACGGACGGACGTCACCAGACTGGAGGTGCCTGATATCCCCCAATGACAACTGATGTTCTGCAGAGGTCTTCAACTTCACTGCTGTCTGTGGGCACGCGTGTTAGATCTCCAAGCAAAAAGCAACTTCAGTGGTTTTTCTGGGATTGCTAGAGCAGCCACCAATTAGCACCTGGTACGGTTTGCAGTGAAGAAAGGGGGCTTATAATACAGAAACCATTTCACCAGCATTAGGGTGAAGTCAACCCACTTACATACATAACACCAAACAGGTGGTTACAACCTGTAACTCTACCTTGTGGTATGCTATTAGTTAAAAGGAAATTTTATACCTCTTCATTGCCAAATAAATTCATTTACTTAAGTTTATGAAGTTTATAAAGACACATAATCAACTCATCAACTCTTTTTCTGGGTCTTTTTTTAAATGAAGGCCATCATACCTGGACCTTTATTTGTTTCGATCTGTTCTACATTCATAGAGTTTGCTTTGCAGTTCCCTTCCATGGATACAATAAAATTTGGGCATTCGATAACTAGCAACGAAGAAACTGAAATATTAAAAAATGGAGTTGCATTCATCTTATAGGAAACTATTTAGCTTTTAGAAAACTGTCCTAGAATTACAAGAAAATTTTAATGAACATATTTTGGTTTATTATTTATACACTTGACAGTTCAGTCTGTCTAGTATATAGACAGCACTAATTCAGAATCTGAAAGTCCCCTATAGACCTAGAATTTGCTGAATATAAAGTATGTGAATACGGACATAATCAGAGTAGTTCAAAGTTAAAGTTAACCAAAGTAAGGTGTAAGATTTATCATCATAAACAAAACCAACCTGCTGAAATCTAGACAAGTCAAATGAGGACACAACTAAATCAAATCAACTTTTCAAATTAAATATCATTTTTTGAAATTAAACTTAAAATTTAACTTGAAAGAAATATTAAATCAGAAGACAGGGAAAACAATAACCTGCCAGTTTTATGACATTAATATCAAAGAAATATATGAAGCTCAATAAGGAAAAGCTATGGTTTATTGCCATGCAATACCTTCCCCTCCAAGAGTTACATAAATATCTTTGTAGTTAGTGATAAAGAACAATTCAGATCTTTGCTTATGATACATTTACCACTGTCAGACCACAAGGTCTGACCTCCGGGTTGGTCACAGATTTGTATTTGTTACAAATATCACATGATGTACCAACATGACACTTAGAAGAAGTGCAGATACATGGAGAGTCATGTAAGAATATTAAAATGGTCTGACAAGCAGGCCCTCATCCTCATTTCCGTGAAGGAACAGTACCCTGGTAACTTAAAAGGGCATTAGAGATCAAGGAACAGCAACTTTCAGGCCTAATGTAAACAAAACATTTGCCTTCGTGTCTTTCTACTACTTCTGTTACCAGAAAAATATTTCTCCCACAGTAATAAAGAAAATTAGGTTAAGTTTTAGAAATACAGAAGCTCTGTACTGTAGTAAAATTAAACTATTCCAAAATACACTGTATTTGTAACTCACTTAACAGTCAGCAAGTTGGGCTACTGACTTTATGATTCGCTAAGAATGCTTTTCAGTATTTTAAGTCAGCCACCCTACTTGTAATCCAATGACATTTTTAACACGTTAGGATTTTTTTGGTTTTGCTTTTTTTTTTTTAAGCAGAGAAATTAGTGATGACCTACTGATAATGTTCTTCCTTCACTATCAAGTAAAAGATTAGGATTTAGCTGATGGCGTGGGATGCTTTCTTCCAAAGCCAGTGTAATGAAAACACTGCAGATGTTTCAAAATCCCACAGTAAGCATGTGTATCAGCATTACACTCCTTCTCTTTTTTCCTTTACCAATTAAAGATGACCATGGACAGGTCCTGAGGGAAATGCCATCCACTCCTGCCGAGCCGGAAAGACAGCACTCTCACAGTTAGTATTTTCTAAGTGCACATAAGAACACGTATGTGCGTATCAGAATTCTATTTCTAACCTAGTCTCACACGCTCTGTCAGTTATGAGGCGGACATGACCCCACCACTCTGAATAAGGTCCGTGCAATGCTAGCACAGAAATGTTCTTCTGGGTAAAGCAACTACTGGTTTTGTGCAATATATAAATACACACGTGCAGCAAAGACACAGCAACTTTTAAATCTCCTTTTCATTGACTCTATCGGTACCATTTTAATTTTCAAGGAATGATGGAGGGGCAAATAGAAGTTGGGTGTATTTTTAGTATCTTCTTTCTGTTAAGATTACACTTCACCATCTTAAATCATCAGCACCTGTGAGAAAAAGGCTGTTTGATCAGATCAGTGACACAGCTATTCCCGAGTTTCAAGTCTCTGCTTTAAGACTGAAGGCTTGTAAATGTGGGTAAGTCACTTAGATGTTACATTTTCAGGTAGATCATGAAATGGAAAGCACAGATACACTCAAGGGATATTTAAGTATCAAATAGTATTTCATAAAGTGCCTTGAAGGTGAAGAATTATGCAAGCATTATATTTACTACTATAATAAATAATATCAGAATAAAGAAAAAGCAAGCCAGTTAGAAGATATGGAGGGAAGATACATAAAAAAACCCCCAATAATCTTCCTTTAAGCTTTTAGGAAAAAAGGTAGTAGGATTTAGCTTTATGTTTCAGGACAGTGGACTTAACATTCTTCTCCTTGTCAAAGCCTGTAGATAGGCATCTTTTTTTTAAGGGAAAGCACGGTACCGTTAATGCTATAATTCAATGTCTTCCTTTTTTGCCTGGTCCTTTCAGCACTGTTTTCCAAAGCAGGACTGGGAGACACGTTGACCTTTACTTATCAGTAAAGTAAGTTTTACATTCATTTATTTTAAATACACGTCATTATTCTATTTTCTTGGTCTGATGTCTTATTTGAGTGTATTAATAGATATCATAAACAGTCAGTCTGGACTTTTCGGCAAGCATAGCTCAGATCTGTACCATGGTGGTGGTGGTGGGTGAGGGCAGAGGGGAAACCCACTGATCACAATTTAGGACAACTTTCTAGTTTTTTTTTTTATACAACCACTGCTTTCTTTTCTAGCCACTCTGGACTGTGAGCGAATGCCCAAGTTTTGGTAAATTCAGTCCACTGAGGTCAAATGAGTTTCTTCCTACACATATGTAATTTTCCCTCGCTTCCATGTGCTGATGAATCATTCCCAGATCCTTCTCTTTCCCAAAAATAGTCTGGAAAGAGGGAGAAGAAACTATGACCCTCAGCACTGAAATTCCCCATTGCGGCAGAAGCGCGACAAGTCCTTTAACGACACGTCCTGTTTCCTCTGCTTCAGCCTCGGCACCGAGAGCAGAGAGGACAGAAAAACAAAACACTGAGCACTACAACAGACTTGCGGCATTGCTGCTGACCATAATGCCAATTAGACAAATCATAACACACTAGAGTGTGTTCTCTGAAAACCCTAAATCACATAGCAACTGTAAGAGTATACATTTTCGCAATAGCAGTTCACATGAAATGTGTATTTTTGGTCAAAGTCCAATTCAGAGCTGGGTTATTACCGAGGACATCTGAGTTTTGTAGCCCTGGCATGCTAATGTACTATTTCCTGATTAATCTGTTTTCATTGATGTACTATGTATTTATGATTTGCACCTTCACAATCTACTAGACATCTTTTTTCAGAACATTTCCAATCAGATGAACCTGTTTAAGGATTATGACTGCGTTACGCACACACGTACCGCTTCACTTGATGTATATGAAGGAGAGAATACCAAATGTACTACTAGCTTTAATGAAATACTGCTTATGATTTTTTCCCCCCAGAAAATATATTAGTTATGCAGGTATGCATCCAGTTAGGTAAAAATCTCAGAAGCTTTAATGGAATGTGAAAACACAGAGCAATTTCAACGCTGTCTGGGTCTCAGAATTTAAAACAAAGCATTTTTCTTAGATTGGCTCTACATTTTTTAAACTTAATAGTTTCAACTGAAATGATTTTATGTAAATCTATTTCAAATGGAATAAAGATACTTAAAATTATTTAATTTCATTTTTTTTCATACTTATCTTTATTAGCTGTTAAATATTTGAGGCAGAATATTTAGATGTATCGTAATGGCAAACTATGATAAAACCATCAATTACTTTTGCTATACATGCTCAGCCTATGCAGAGAATTAAAATGCTAATCGCTGCATTGTAAAACTCCCAGATCTTGCTAATATAAATATATTTTCTAACTTGTTATAAATGATTACATTCTTGGCTATTAATTCCATAAAAAGAAATACTTACTACTGTGCACAATCAATCAGTTGATATTCGTTCGACCTCTCGAAGCATGCCTTTACACCTTCATCATCCCAGAGCTTTTTTGCATGTTCAAAGAACTCCTGAAAATTGGAAATGCAACAAATAAGAGAACATTTCTCAATCTTTTCAATCCCCAATCTATATGTGTTGTGCCTTCCCCCCAACCTTCATGCTTTATACTTCTGCAGAATGATAGATTATACTTTTAAAGAAGAAAAGCAAAACACATTAGCAAAATTGCAGTAAAATATACTGAACTTATGGCTAATGACAGTTTGCAGTACATGATATGTGATGAAGACTGTCTTCAAAATTCATACCAGTCCATATATAAAATTTACTGTAAGTACAAATGTTACCTAGAAGCATGCAAACTTAGTTTTTAACTGAATTTATGCTTCTGTCATGGAGGAGGCATAGAAGTGATGCAAAAAGCTGCTCAGCTTACAAACATTAGCTTCCCAGAGAAAGAACCAGTCTGTAACTTTAAAAAGATTATGTAATTTTTCCTGAAGAACACAACTTTCCGCTGCTTGGTATTTTCTCATGCAACATAATAATTTGATTGCAAGACTTCCAGAGTCTTTGCTCAACACCACTTCCTCCAAGCAGCCGCCTGGCACAACGTGCTTTTCTTAGCTGCTATCCCAAGCATCCCAAGCTAGAAATATCTGCCGGCAAGCTTATTTCAGAATTATTTGAAAGAGGAATCAAAGCTGTCCTTGGTGACGGTGAAGCCATAGCTCCGTTGTGTAAAACACACACACGCAGAGCAGTAGGTCCGACCCTGCCTGCTGGCTCCTTCGTTCCTCCAGCCCCTGCCACAGAGCATCACACGCTCCAGCTTGTTTTAAAGCTGGGAGTCCATTTTATGTTATATCATTACTGGTAAGTCAAACCGTAACTGAGTTTTTCCAGCTAAAGCTTTCTAAAATCAAACAAAGAATGGTTAGACAAATTAGTATTTCCTTTATTATATGACTGAGTCTTTCCTCCCTCAAAGCAAATTGTTAAAGTAGTACGTCAACTTAAACACAGAAGTTGCTTGTAATCTCTTAACACCTCAACACAGCTACTATATCATCAGAGTCCTTTGGTCAGTCATAAATTTGTGAAACCTAACAAATGGCTTTTCTGCAGTTCAATTTGGCTCTGTGTAAATTGGCTGTAATACCACTATTCACTTCATAATCCTGTTGAAATGTTGTGTAAATATCTGAAAATTCTGAAACTTTCTGAAATTGTTTGCCACACCCTCCCCACACCTTTTCAGGATTAAAAACTTCTCTTAAAAGACAAAGTTCGTAGAGAAAGATCTTGGCAGCACAGTGAGTTCACTTTTACTCTGTACGGGTTTCCCAACTTTGCACACCACCCCTGTGAGGTGCCTCAAAAGGTGACACTCTGCTCCTCAGCAACTGCCTGTGACCTGCTGGCGATGTTTTCAGGGAGAGGCAAAACACAAGACAACATTTTCAGAACAAATTAGTACTGAAAATTATGTAGTTAAGCTTTGAACATGGCTACAGAGGTCCTGAATAACTGAAGAAATGTTTTTTTCTTTCAACTATATTGTGCACAATGTAGAGAGAGAGAAAAAACCATTCTTTAAGAAGTTTTCAAAACTTTAGAGAAAAGGAGATGTTAAAGCAGGCGTGAAAAACCTTTGCAGAAAGTCTTGGAAGAAGAGAGGAAGCAACACTAGAGATTGGCATATGCTTATTCTGCCCTTGGAATTTATTTCTTCACTGTTGTGAGGACGTTTATTTTGTCTTTGTTATTTTAATGACTTATGTAACGATTGTTTAAAACACTGCAGATCCACCTTTTGAAGTTATGCTACGGCTATTATAAACTCTATGTTCCTACAGCAGAAGGAAAGCAAAAACAAGCTCAAGAAAGGACAACATATCAAACTAAATAAGTAGAAGGAGAAAGCGGACACACATAACAGAGAGCATGACTACAAGAAAAAGAAAGAACTGGAAAAGTCAGAATGATAAATACCAGAAAACATGGAACATTCCTCAAACTTGAAGCTTATGCTTCATTGATATTTAGGGCATCAGCTGAATGCATCTCACTTGCTGGCATCTTTGTCCAAAGAAAGGCATTGCCTTCTCAATGGAAAGAGCGAGCTCTGGATAAGTGTCAGGGTCCTGAGGCAAAAGGACCCAGCTCTCCCACCCCCTTCAATGGGTGCGTGTACAGCAGTGTACAACCTCAGCCCTCCCTCCCGCAGGTGCTTGCTGCTGCAGGTGCAGGGGCCAAGCATGGCATGCCCACCCTCCCCTCCTCGCCATTGGCGAGTGGGAATTCCCACCCACCTGGAAAGCCATCTCTGAGGGGAACCTACATCTAAAAAATGGCCCCATTCAGCCCCACGCAGCCTATGGGAAGGGGATGGGAAGAGGAGAAGGATGCCAGCGTGAAAGCTTCCTTTCCTGCGGGGTGGGATGGATTGAGAGATGGCTGCAGATGTAAATAAATAAGTAAATTAAAAAAAATAAATAAAATTGCATAGCTACAGCAGTTTCTCTCTTCAATTCTGTTTTTACATCCTCTGTATGAGCTTTATTTACTCTTAAAAATCTCTTCTGGAAAAGAGGCAATCTTTTCAGCTCAGCTTCTGAGACCCTACAAATATGTTGTAAATACAGGGTTTCCATATTATATGCCTCGAATATTTCCACCTTACCATTATATCTCAAAGCAGTCTATTTAAAACGACTTCCAGACTTCTAGTCCAAAGCAAATCCTATAAAACGGAGCAAATATACTTACCTCATTAAAATGTACCGATCTACTGCAGAGGAGTACACTTGCCTGCAAATTGCCTCCCACACAGCTACCCGATCCTTCTTTCCCAGGTGACTAAAGCCTTCCAGAAAAATCCTGCTTCATTTCAAGACACCAAGTACCATAATCCAACTTTTCACACTTGATTTTAACCCCCTTCTCATCTGCTCTTTCTTCAATATTTTTTTTCCTCAACTGCTGAAGGCTCCCATTGCACTCAGTCAAGCACACAGGAGGATCCTGCTCACACATGCCAGAGATGTCTGGATCCCAACCTACTCTCCATCACAGGACAACATCCAGATAGCAGTCACCACGTTAGCTTCAACCTCTGCAACCAAGCCCCCTTTGCCCGACCAGCCTTCCTGCAACCGCTCCCCAACCCCCAATCCCCATGACTCATTCCTATAGACCCCAATGCTTGTCACATCTTCCTCCCACCATGGCCACATCATGGCCCCCTCGTTGGCAAACAGGCACTGGTGAGCTAACGAAGGTGCGGGCTTTGGACCAAGCCCGCCCTGCAGCACCTGCTCTTGGGGCTGCAGTATCCTCGGGGTGGCAGCCACCTTTGGCAGCACCCGACACAGGGAAGAGCCAGGGTAATTCAAAGGACAGAGAATTCAGATTTGCTCCAGCTGATGGGCTGGAAGCTGGGCTAAAACTTTTCAGTTAACGTTTTGGGGGGGTGGGGAACTACGTACAAAACATTACCTTAGGTCAGCACAACACAAATAAGGTTTTAAGAGTAAGTTGTGACCTTAGCAGCTTACGTTCTGAGATGGCCAAACTAAGATTTTCTTAAGGGTCTGACTTCTGGAAAGTGGCTATTCAGAAGTTCTTGAAAGTCAAGAGCCAGGTCCTTTAAGAAACCTCAACTGGGACAGGAGAGAACAGGGACATGGAAAATCACTAGGGACATCTGATGCACTTGGTTTGCATGCACATGCAGCTGACCTCTATCGGATCAAAGTCACCGAAATCTACTAGAAATATTTAGTATACTGAAGAGGACCAGGAATAAGGTACTAATCCTGAAAGCAGAAAAACACCTACATCATGACACATCTGTGAACACCAAACAAAACAGAGCTGTTTCATCCAAACTCTTCCTTAGGGACAGAGGCATACAAATATTTGCACCTATTAATATACATATAAAATAAAACCTTTAATATATTTTTTGATGTAGTATTTTAATTAGAGCATTAGAGAAGTAAATGATGATGCCTCAGGTCTCACGAGTTACAGGTCTCATGAATTACAGGTATTTTTTACTTTATACACATTAATTTACATTAGTTACTTAAGAATTTATAGCGATCATTAGACCATACAATACCAAAATTTTGATGCGATCAAAATGAAGATGTGACACACATCATCTCAAATATTTACTAATATAACATTATCGGGAAATTTTCCACTCTTCCTGAGACAATTCAGAAAACTCAGCCCTGCATTCCCGAGCTTCCTTTTCGCTAGTAGATAATTTTTGCTATACATAAATATTCACACATCATCTAAAAATCACAAAGTGACATAGACAGGTTACGATTCCTTTTTTTTTTTCCGGAACAAAATACGTTAAGATGTACATAAATGTAGAAACACCCTGAGCTGATATCACTGATGTAAACAGTATTGTATTTTTACTACATTCTAAAAAGGTCTTGTAGAAATATTTTTACTCACCTATTCCAAGGTAAAATTTTTAGGTTGAAAAAAAAGGAGGGAATATATTCCTATACAAAACGTTCCAAGAAACCAATACAGATTACAAATGCAGATGCACTACAGTTAAGTCTCAAAGCATTGTTTTTCAACTTTGTCCTACTAGAAGCTACAGCATGTTCTTGAAATCTAATTTTCCTTATTTTGCAAATAAACTTATTTATTGGTAGGTTACCTTAGAAACCTCCTCCCCCTTGTAACTCCTACAATAAATTTTCAAGTAGGTAAAAAATGGACTTTTTTCACTTTTCAGCTGCCTAAATTGGGAATAAATATTAGTGATGATTAAACAATGACATATCTTCAAGAACAAATCTTTTTGGAAACAGAACTTTTCATCTAATTGCTTTACAAACCACAGAAGTTCATGTTAGGTCAGGAACACAATTTTTATTCTATTAAGATTCCTTTCTGTCTTCCTTCCAGATGGAGCATACATTTAATAGCTATCCTGATGTCACCTTTCAGTCTCCCAGAAACTGGGATGTGGAAGACTCCACTGTATTTTCTATTCCGCATATTTCTTCTGTTAATATAGTGTAAACCT